ACACCTGTGGCAGAATTCAAATAAGGGGTAACCTAAAACATGCCTGTGATCTGACTCAAGCTAAACATCACCTGTAGAGTTAAAGCAATTTATCATGAAAGGGATTAAATACAAGTACAGGAGCAAGTGGTTTCTTCTAATAAAATCATGATAAATTAAAGGTGTCAGTACTTAATAATGGATTGTCTGTGGCACGAGTAATAACATTTTGTCATCCTATTTTGTTTAATTTGCATGGGCTACAGATTGTATTCGACATATCTATAGCTTTACACTGTGAATCATGATAAACATGCAAAAAGCTTAAAACCATTATTAATATGCCAACTTGGAGTGTATATTTTTGTCTATTGGGCATAAATAAATATGCTATATAATGCTGTTAATATGAAATGGTGTTTTGTTATACTGCATGACGTCACACTGTGCTGAAATTTAAACCAGATGCCCACACGTGGAGTTTTGAATTTCACGCGAAGACATTTGGGGAAACGCTTGAAATTTTAAAATTTTACCCAAAATGGACCTTTTCCTGACAAAAAGGGCGGTTCTTTCGAACTCCCCGAACCCCCCTGGCCACGGGCCTAGGGTTAGTCGGAATATTGGGGTTAGTATTTAGGACGAATGTCACCTCTACCGGAACAAAGTAATGGGGAACGGAATACGGTTCCTAGCGGACTGCCATCCCTGTCACGACGGCACGAACAGATACAGAGATTGGAGTGTATACAGCGACACACAAAAACACATTGAATGAATCTACACAGGGTTTGGGTGCCAAATATAATTTTCCATTTCCAGAGATTAGATCGATCCAAGTAGATCGACCTTACTCCCAGGAGGTTCACGCTAAATAGCTATCAGCCGAGTGGGCACGAAAGTTAATTACCCCCTTACAGTTTGTAGTAGGTGGGACGGACATTTAAACCGGATTATCTGACAGTAATCTAGTGAGACTCCCCATGGGGATAGATCTATCTAAAATCTATGGGAATGCACCCTTAGTAAAATTTTGATTTAGGTTTTTTGAAAACATGAAGGTTTTCGCAATAATAGGCCAGCTTTTTCATAAAAAAAACTCATTAAAATTGCTGGGTCCAGGCCCGCAGACGTTGTAGAAGCGTTTTCACTTCATCCATTCATGGAAGTATAACCGGGGCAGATCCAGGATTATTTGAAGGTGTGGGGGGGTGGGGGAGGTTCTGGAACGACGGGCCTCTGATGCAAAGCCGACCATCCCCTTCCTGGTGTAGGGTTCAGGGCCTGCTCAAGGACCCCGAAATTTTTTTGGTTTTGGAGAGCAAACAGTACTCTGATGTACAGTTAGTCAAAATTCTAATTTCAAGAGAATTTCAAGGGAATATTGGTGCGATATATTTTTCAGAAACCAAAAGGGGGGGGGGGGGTAAGGATCCCCCTGACCCCACCCCCCTAAATCCGGCACTCTGTTTCCGAAACATACGTTACCAAATTGTGTGTAGGTTGTTTAGTTGTTGTTGTTTACGTTGTTAGTTGTCTGTCGGCGCAACTATGAAAGTGCGTGATACATGTCCGACGTAATACATGTCATACATGTCCGACGTAAAAACAAACGATCCTTGAATAAGCTCTATACAACAGCACTTAGTTAAATTTCATCAGTATAATAAAGTTTGTGAGTTAATACAATTTGAAGTTTGATGCTTTTTCATTTACCCGACATATGCATTATGTCGACCATGTGTAGGCCTATTGAAAGTGATTCTATTCCAAACTTTCCGCGTGGACAAAAAGTACTTTGAAATAAATAAAAAAGAGAAAGAAATTTGAACTGAGAAAAATGTAATTTTGATCGACAATCACTAAGGTCAGTGTTCTTGGGAGATAGCCAGAAATGTTTTGATAAAGAGCAGAAGCCAATGTCAGATAGCCTACTGGGCAACACTAACGTGTAACACGTGTAACTGTTAACATCACGATATAGGCCCTATGTGCTTCTAACAGCGACCTGCATATCTTGCAACAGCAACAGAGATTTTTTCTAAAAAAATAAAATAATAAATAAATAAATAGCGGACACTTTCTCTTTGTAGCGTGATACAGGATTTGAGCAAAGGTGGTCTTGGTCTTCAAAATTAAATGACCCATCACGTGATCCGGTGCCCGTATCTTGACACCCACGAATGTAGGTTATCGGCTTTATAAAAGATTATCATGACTTTATAATCTTATTTATGATCTGTACATATATGGTCGTGGGGGCCACTCGTACTATCTTGTGTGTCAATTTGAACAACGGAGTCGATGATGCATACATGCATCGAGAAAACACGAACATGAAGTCACGTGATATCAATAGACAAAGCAGAGACGTCACATTTGGCGGTAAAGTATAAAAGGAGGGTGGACAAAACGGACACAACAAAGGTACGTATATTATTAAACAGAAAGTCCAACAAGAAAAGGTAAGGTGGCGTTTTCTATATAACGTTTTAATATGATGTGGTGAATCGGAAAGGTACAAGTTTATTTGTTAAAATAATTTATAAAAAATTTTAAATTAAGATAATTTAGGCTGGGTGTCTCTATTTATTCATGTTCATGTTATTCATATTCATTGGAGAAAGACAAAAGTTTATAATCGGCTCTGTCTAAATACATAAATATATCCAAAACATTTATATAACGAATGTGTTCGTCTTATAATTTAAGTTCAATTTAAAGAAGATGTAATTATGATAAGTAATGGATGAATGAATAAAATAAAAAATGTATACGCCAGTAAACTTGATAAATCGTAAAGAATATAATAATGATAACATAATAGATTAAATAATTAAAAGTCCATCCTCCACAGATATTTTACCTTTATTACAGCTCATGGATAGACGCAATATTTTGATAGTGGGCAGTACTATTATTAGAGACTTGCAATGGACAACGAATTATTTTTTTCTTTATAAAAGGTATTCATGAAATACAAAATGTATCGAGTGACTCCCAATCGCCATAATAATCAATGTATCATTAAAAAATTCTGATTGTTAAATGAACAAAAATTTTGTTTTATTTATTATGTACAAGAGAATAAATATATATACATACATACCACGGGACTGATATCAAAACAAAAGGATTGCAGGGACCGAAACAATGAATGAGACGGAGTGACTGCCAAGTGCGGAAGATGAGCAGGAAATCAACCAACTATACTCACAGAAAACCACTGACCCATGTCCCTGTCAATACACACGCAACCACAAACCATTCACGCAAATGAAAATGATTGGACGGTGACCGCAATTAGGCAGTAAACGCGGGGAAATTCCATTCTTTGATATCACCCCATGAGCGGTGATATCAGCGTGTTCTATTCAATGTTAGGGGGTTTGGCTGGGGAACGCGCACGATTTCCCCTTGTATGTACGACAAATAATGCACTCTTACCCATCGGGCTCGTGGGCAGTGCATTATTTACTACATAGCGTGTGCCTACAATTACATAATCTGTCTGTATTTCAGTACTTTATACCACCAAAGTCTTACTGGATCGGGCACCTGTGTACGACTGTCGAGTTGTAGACAAACAACAGTGTTATAAGAGGATGGCCGACACACCGGAAGGTAATTAACGTTATTGGCTAGAAATAAATAGCGCTCCTAGTCGTTGGTGCGTTTTCATCTCGCTAAGTACAGGCAAGAAATGTTAATCAATGTTTTTATCATATATTATATGGCGATCTCGATAGTCTGGGGGAATGGCGAGCACCATGAGCATTAAGAAATGGTCTATTCATTTTTATTATGTTCAGTAAATTTTATGTTGACAAATTTTTATGAAGAATATGAGGATTTATGTGACAGTGTTTTGTTTATATTTTGTAAATACATCGTAAACTGCCCTTAAGCAACTGTAGAGAACAGAGAGAGAGAGAGAGAGAGAGAGAGAGAGAGAGAGGTTTGAGTGGAGTGGAGGGGGAGGGGGAGCAAATAAACTAAACCTAAATTTGTGTTCTTAACAGGACACAAGTACGAAGAAGGTACATCTTCCTGGGTTACAGAGAGTATATAAAAAAGGAGTTTGATGATAATGGCTTCATTATCGTGCGGTATGTAGGTCTACTTGTGTGTGCATATTGAAAGGTTCTATTTTTTTAAAACAAAATTTGCTGCCACCATCAAAACGGGGTTCTTTCTAATATTTCTACGCAACACAATCAACTACGTACAGGGCTCTGTCCTCTGGGTGACAGCCCAACACGTACAGTAACAGGTAACTGCTCGATCGCTTGACCAATTGCTCTGACTTCCACCTTCCACATCTAACTCTAAACTCCCAACTCTATACTGCCAAAACGGCCAAGAGCGCCTGTCTGTATACTCCCAAAGGCTTTCCCCAAGCACGTTCAAGCTGCAATAGGAAGAAACCCCTGAACAGAGCTACTTGGGTTTCAATGCGATTAGCACATGGTCAGGACAGAAAGGGGTGCTTTCAACTGTTACTAGAATTAATTTACAGGGCTGACGGTTAGAGGTCAACTGAGCTGTTAGCAAAGAAAAGTTAAAATGTCATGTTGGAACGTTTCAATATTACAGTGACAAAACATAATACGATGACACTCCTATTAGATCAAAGTGTCTGTTTACTTTTACATTTTAACGAATTCGGGTTCACCTTTTGCTGTGTATTGGCCTCTGTTTGTAGAATTTTTACATACTTTTTTGTGTCACAGGTTATATCTGACCTTTTAAAACTTCACCAATCCTCTATTATGAAATCTGTAGAACATTTTCCATATTTGAACGTGAATTCGTATTATTGTTTATTGGTTCTGGAAACTTTAAAGAATAATAATTACAGCACCGATTACGTAATAAGGAAACTTTATCTTGTTGAAAATCTCTTTAGAAATTTTCTCAGTTCGGAAGAATTAAAGCGCGTGAAGGATGCCCTGGAGACGGACGGTAACATATTGCAACACCGTACTGGTCGTGACGATGGACACGGAAGGAAAGCGAATATGACGTTATGGAATCACCCTGGAGATGACGTAGCAGGAATGGTGGCCAGGTGTGAGAAAGTCGTCAACGCCATGGAAACGGTAACTTGAATTGAATTTTTATTAATTTGAATATTTACTAAATCCTGCTTACTATTTGATTACTTACTTCAAAAATGAGATGGTTCATACTTGCAAGATATTGAATGATTGCCTCCCGCGTCCTACCCAACTATTATCATTCTAAATAATTAAAAGAAAAATTTCCTCTGTCCATAGTCTTAGGATCGTAAAATAATTACACTCTCTCAATCATCTAAATGATTATGTCGTTTTTTTTTCTTCAGTTTTTGGATGGTGAAGTGTACCATTATCAAACCAAGCTGATTCAGAAAGAAGCTCACACTGGTGGATCGTTTGTCTGGCATCAAGATTATGGTTGAGTTATTTTGAATATGAAGCTTCAAGATAAGAATTATTTTAGTTTTATTTTAATATAATTTTTAAAATTTTTTTAATTATTTTAGCCCACAAACCACTTGCTTTGCCCAAACTAAAATGGTACCAGAGCATAGTTGCCTTAAAACCAAAATGCCCGGAGAGAAGAATCGAAATGACGATCTTTTCTTAAGAATTGCATTATTTGTAACTACAACTTTCTTATTGATCCAATCTACATTATGTCTGGATCAAGAATTGTCGCTCAGCAGGATATTCTCTCTACCTTAGTTATTGGTTCCCAGACATGGCAACGGTCTTCATAGCAATAGATCGTGCTGACAGGAATAACGGATGCCTTCAGGTAAGACCAACTACCATTCTTTAACTCGTTCTTAAAATGCAATCGTCTCCTATTTTACAAAAAAGTGCTTTTGTCGGATTTAAATTGTCTCAAATACCTCACTTAAGCTGATTTATTTTGCCTTTTTTGATTCTGCCTGGATCGCACAGGCTGGGCCGCATTGATCACGTGCCAATCGGAAACCAAACCGGTGCCGATCTTGAACGTGTGAAACAAGTTTCCAAGGTTTTGCCCTTGACCTATGTAGAATTAAACCCAGGAGACGCAGCGTTCTTTCACTGTAACCTTCTTCACACCAGTGACCAGAACAACAGTGATAGACGCCGCTGGGCACTTATTTGTTCCTACAACAGCGCAAGAAACAACCCCGTGATAGCGCACCATCATCCGCAATATACGCCACTGAAGAAGGTTAGTGTACATCCAAATTCCTTTTGCCTTAAGTTTATGGCATGCACGTGAAAGCCAAACGAACGCCCCGCTTTGAGAGAATGAGAAAGTTGAGAAAATATATCTGCACTGGGTTCTTTTGAATACTGGACTTAATTGACCCCATATTATTATATTCTCCACGGCAACTCCAAGGAAACGAATATACAAACACACTTTACACCATCTTTGCAGGTCCCAAACAAGGCAATCCTTGAATGCCCCTGGATGGCTGACAAGTCAGAGGAAAGTAAATGGTTTTATAAAGAAACCGATTCAACTCCCCAAGGATTAGCCGTCAAGGCAACTAGATGAGTAAAACCGCGCAGATGGACACTCTTGGAGTTTGATGACACCCAAATCAGTCAATGGTCCCTCCATCAGGCCACGCACCCATACAATCACACACCCAACCTCACCAACCTCATTTACCTTATTAGACACAACTGCCCAGACGGAGAATACACTCCTCTCAAGCTACACAATCATGGATATCCTGACACAGAGATCAGAGTGTATACAGACACAAAACACGTTGACAGCATGTGTATTCAAAATGATTCTACTCCAAACTGCATGCGGACAAAATGTAGATTAAAATTAATAAAAAGGAGAAATTCTGAACTGGACAAAAATACCATTTGATCAACATTCAATATGTAATTTCAGTGTTCTTGGGAAATAGCCGGAAGTGCTAATAAAGTACAGCAGCCTATGTCAGATGCTGAGAAACGCCTTAGTGTTAACATGACGGTATTTGCTTCTAACCGCCACCTGCTTATCTTGCTGCAGCAACTGAATCCTCTTTTCTCTAAAAAACTCGCCAGTAAGATGCATTTTGAACCAGTGAATTGATATTTGTGCTTTTAATTTTAAATGTGATGACATGTTATTGCACAGTTTGTACTAAGCATTAGTTTTTAAGATGACTAGAAATATCTGCGGCAGAATTCAATTAAGGGTAACCCAAAACATACCTGTGGTCTGCAGCAAGTTAAAAAATCACCTTATAGAGTTAAAGCAATTTATCATGAAAGGGATTAAATATGAGTACAGGAGCAAGTGGTTTCTTCTAATAAAATCATGATAAATTAAAGATGTCAGTACTTAATAATGGATTGTCTGTGGCACGGGTAATAACTTTTTGTCATCTTATTTTGTTTAATTTGCATGGGCTACAGATTGTATTCGACATATCTATAGCTTTACACTGCGAATCATTATAAACATGCAAAAAGCTTAAAACCATTACTTATATGCCAACTTGAAGTGTATATTTTTATCTATTGGGCCTAAATAAATATGCTATATAATGCTGTTTATATGAAATGTTGTTTTGTTAGACACCCGATGCCCACACAAATTTGGGATTTTGAAATTCGCTCGAGGACATTTGGGAAACGCTTTAGCTACTCCATTTCTGCTCATTTTGCAAGCACCTTGGCACCATCTTTATATCATCGTACTATAATGCAATGGTAACATGACGGTGTGACAGGAATGGAAGTCCGGGGACCCATATGTTTAGCACAGGTTAGGGTACGGTTAGTCGGAATATTGGGGTTAGTATATAGGACGAATGTCACATGTACCGGTGTGACAGGAATGGTACTCCGCTAGGAACCATAGTCCATTACCCATTACTTTGTACAGGTGACATTTGCTCCATATGCTAACCCCAATACTCCGACTAACCCTAACATATACTAATCATACAGGACCCCGGAATTCCGTTCCTTGGATTACCATTCCTGTCACACCGGTACAAAGTAATGGGGAACGGAATACGGTTCTTAGCGGACTACCATATCCCTGTCACAACGGCACGAACAGAGACAAAGATTAGAGTGTATACAGACACACACAAGAACACTAAGAAAGATCGAGTTACATAGGGTTTGGGTGCCAAATCCAACTTTCCTCGGCGCAAAAGTAAATTCTCTTACAAATTCTTGCTTCCATTTACCTTTCACACATGTAGGGCCATCGTGGGGATATTTCGTCCAATCGTGTCATTTTCATAGCGTGAAACTGACCGACTGTCTAACATGTTGAAGGAAAAACGACGACGCACGTGAAGCGCTCGCAATGCCATATATATATAATGACAGGAATGGTACATACATGTATATGTAGTCCGCTAGGAACCGTAGCCCGTTCCCCATTACTTTGTAGAGGTTACATTCGTCCCATGTAGCCTACTAACGACCAACAGCCGTGGGATGAGTAAGTTACAACCAGTAACTCCTCGTCCACTGCATGTAACATACGAGACATACGAGAGCAAAAATTGTTATACAGCGGTAATAACGCTCTTGTATGTTGTATACAGTGGACGACTTGTGTTGTAACTAGGCTTAGATCATCCGACATGGGTCCAAGATTCGAACGAAACACACTTTGGCCATGAAATGGTCTCTGAATAAAAGTTTGATTTTGGGTTTTTTGAAAACGTGTAAGTTTACGCAATAATAGGCTAGCTTTAATCGTTAAAAACACCCCTTTAAAATTGCTGGATACAGGCCCGTAGACATATTGGTATGGCACCAGCGTTTTAACTTCTACCATTCATGCCAGTTATGCCTCAATGATCCGTTGCACAAAAATTATCTGGAAAATGCGTTTGGATACAGCGCTAGTCTCTTTATAGTGCTTAGCAGTCTATTTCTTATATTTTATTCAGATCCTTGAATAAGCTCGATACAGCAGCACGTAGTTAAATTTCATCAATGAATAATAAAGTTTGTGAGATAATACACTTTAAAGTTTGAAGCGTTTTTCATTTACCCGACATATGCAGTAAGTGTATTCAAAGTGATTCTATTCCAAACTTTCCACGTGGTCAAAACGTACTTTGAAATAAATAATAAGAGAAAGCAAGTTGAACCGAGCAAAATGTAATTTTGATCGACAATCAGTAAGGTCAGTGTTCTTGGGAGAAAGCCAGAAATGTTTTGAGAAAGTGCCTTTATCAGATAGCTTACTGGGCAACTCTAACGTGTTAACATGACGGTATATGTGCTTCTAACAGCGACCTGCATATCTTGCAACAGCAACAGAGAATATCTTTTTCTAAATATATATATAGTAAATAAATAGCGGACACTTTTTCTTTGTAGCGTGATGCAGGATTTTGGCAAGGGTGGTCTTGGTCTTCAACATTAAATGACCCATCACGTGATCCGGTGCCCGTATCTTGACACCCACGAATGTAGGTTATCGGCTTTATATATATAGCGTGTGCCTACAATTACATAATCTGTCCGTATTTCAGTACTTTATACCACCAAAGTCTTACTGGATCGGGCACCTGTACGACTGTAGAGTTGTATACAAACAACAGCGTTATAAGAGGATGGCAGACACACCGGAAGGTAAAATAACGTTATTGGCTAGGAACAAACAGCGCTCCCAGTCGTCGGTGCGTTTTCATCTCGCGAAGTGACCTCTGTAGGCAAGAAATGTTAATCAATGTTTTTATCATCTATTATATGGCGATCTCGATAGTCTGGGGGAATGGCGAGCACCATGAGCATTAAGAAATGGTCTATTCATTTTTAATATGTTCAGTAAATTTCATGTTAAAGAAGAATATGAGGATTTATGTGACAATGTTTTGATTATTGTTATATTTTGTAAATACATCGTTCACTGCCCTTATGCAATTGTAGAGAGAGAGAGAGAGAGAGAGAGAGAGAGAGAGAGAGGCAGGCTTGAGTGGGAGTAGGGTGGAGAGGGGGGGGAAGCAAATAAACTAAACCTAATTTTGTTCTTTACAGGACACAAGTACGAAGAAGGTACATCTTCCTGGGTTACAGAGAGTATAAAAAAGGAGTTTGATGATAATGGCTTCATTATCGTGCGGTACGTAGGTCTACTCGTGCGTGCATATTGAAAGGTTCTGTTTCTTTTAAACTAAATGTGCTGCCACCATCAAAACGGGGTTCTTTCTAATATTTCTACTCAACACAATAAACTACGTACAGGGCTCTGCCCTCTGGGTGACAGCCCAACACGTACAGTAACAGATAACTGCGCGCTCGACCTTCACCTTCCACATCTAACTCTATAACTCCCAACTCTATACTGCCAAATCGGCGCAGAGCGCCTGTCTGTATACTCCCAGAGGCTTCCCCAAGGCACGTTCAGATTGCAAGAGGAAGAAACCCGTGGACAGAGGGGTTGCGGTGCAAACTAAGCACGTGGTCAGGACAGGGTCGAGTGACTGCTTTCAACTGTTACTAAAATTAAACAGGGCTCGTGGTCAAAGGTCAACTGAGCTGTTAGCAAAGTGAACATGTAGGAACGCCTCAATGTTACAATGACAAAACATAATACAGTGGCACTCCTGTTAGATAATGGTACCTGTCGACTTTTACATTTTAACGAATTCGAGTTTATCTTTTGCTCTATAAGGCCTATTTGAAGAATTTTACATACTATTTTGCGTCACAGGTTATATCTGACCTTTAAAAAGATTCACCCGTCCTCTATTCGGGGTCATGCCGATACTCCCCCGCACCGTTACTCCCCCGCACCGATACTCCCCCGCACCGTTACTCCCCCGCACCGATACTCCCCCTTAGTAAATTTTTGCATTATGCACATCGATACGACCCCACACCGATAGATCCCCGCATCGATAAACCCCCTGTAAAATTGCCGTTATACGCGCACCGTTACTCCCCCGCACCGATACTCCCCCGCGTTGTTGTTTCCCCGCACCGTTACTCCCCCTATGCAATTTCCACGAAACTGAGGATCGAGTAACAGAGTCAACCCTCCATTTAATTATACATGTAAGGGTCAGTCTACGTACATAAGTGGATCAAAATCTACCCCCCGATTAAGTCCAAATTTTGCGGAGAATCTCATGTACCACGCAAGTCCTTTATGCGAAATTTCGAGTTCGCTCGTATGTTAGCACGTACGGAGGATATTGAACATTTCCAATAGATTCTACGAATAATCTGCGAACAGCGAGGTCGTAAGCGTAACTTGCTCCCTTCCTAAGAAGTTTGCGAGGGGTTTGCAAGTGAGACTTGCCTGGTCCAAGATGCACGCCGCAAGAAATGAAGGAGAAAGTGCCCTTTGCGTGTTGAGTACGGCGCACGCCCTCACATCTATAACGAACAAAGTCGAAAACACGACGGGACTGCGAGTATAAAAGGCGTGCTCACGACGCATGCTCGTGTCTCGACAATTGCTCAATTCAGATTTTAATCTACAATTCAGATACAAAAGACAAGGGAAAGAAGCTTAAAGAGCAGAAAAGTAGGTTGGAGGAAAAAGACAGAAAACGAAGCGCCTTAGCACTTCTTTTTTATTACTTAATAATTTAACGAATTCGTCGTTGCCTGAAGAAAATACATAGCTGCGTTATCTTAGATTAAAACTAACTTTGCCTTAAGTTAATAAATAAATGAATAAATAGAAGGCCGTGCAATATATATACGGTACTACTGAGAACAGTAGGAGAACGAAATTAATTTTGCAAAAACATTTCTCAAAAATCACAAGGAAGACCTGTAGGCCTACGTACTGTCAAGCTGCACACAAAGTCTGAGATCGCCTTCGTGGAACGTTCTTCATTTTCCCCAATATATTTCGAATAAAATGTGTCAATTCTGGGTCCCAAGAGGGTGGTGCATCTTGAAAAAAAAAAGGCATTATAGAAAGTGTTGTGAATTACGAATGTGGTTTACAAAGCCAAGGGAATCTATGCCTTGGGGGATTAGTGTTTTTGCGGAGTATCGGTACGCGGGAGTATCAGTGCGGGGGAGTATCGGTGCGGGGATGTAAAGAAGCGGGGGAGTATCGGTGCGAGGGAGCATCGGTGCGGGGGAGTATCGGTGCGGGGATGTAAAGAAGCGGGGGAGTATCGGTGCGGGGGAGTATCGGTGCGGGGGCGTATTGGTACGTAGCCCTCTATTCAAGAACTAACTCGTATTGTGAAAGCTTTGGAAAAATGTCCAAATTTGAGCGTGAATTCGTGTTATTGATTATTTGTTCTGGAAACTTTAAAAACAATAATCATTACAGCACCCATTACGTAATAACGAAACTTTTTTTTTTTGTGAAAATCTTTGTAGAAATTTTCTCAGTTCGGAAGAATTAAAGCGCGTGAAGGATGCCCTGGAGACTGACGGTAGTATATTGCAACACCGTACTGGTCGTGACGATGGGCACGGGAGGAAGGTAAATATGACGTTATGGAATCACCCCGGGGATGACGTAGCAGGAATGGTGGCCAGGTGCGAGAAAGTCGTCAACGCCATGGAAACGGTAACTTGAATTGAATTTTCTTTAAGCTCTCGTTAACTAAAATGCAGGTCCCCTCTCTCTCTCTCAATCCTGCTTACTACTCGATAACTCATTTCAAAATTAAGATGGTACATACGCTGTACTTGCAAGACATTGCCCCCCACTATTAACATTCTAAATAAGTAGAAGATCATTTTTCTCCGTCCATAGTCTTAGGATCGTAAAATAATTACACTCACTCAATCATCTTAATGTTTAATTCTTTTTTTTTTTTTTGCTTCAGTTTCTGGATGGTGAAGTGTACCATTATCACACCAAGCTGATTCAGAAAGAAGCTCACACTGGTGGATCGTTTGTCTGGCATCAGGATTATGGGTGAGTTATTTTGAATATGAAGCTTCAAGATAAGAATAATTTCATTGCTATTAATTATTTTAGCCGAATAATTTTTATCCAACCTTCCCATTACCTTATCTCATTATATTTTTTTTATCATTTATCGAAGTCACTTGCTTTGCCCAAACTAAAAAGTACCAGAGCATAGTTGAATAAAAACCGAAGTGCTCGGAGAGAAGAATCGAAATGACGATCTTTTCCTAAGTATTTCATTATTTGAAATTACAACTTTCTTATTGATCCAATCTACATTATGTCTGGATCAAGAAGTGTCTCTCAGCAGGATATTCTCTCTACCGCAGTTATTGGTACCATAATGGCTGCCTGTTCCCAGACATGGCAACGGTCTTCATAGCAATAGATCGTGCTGACAGGAATAACGGATGCCTTCAGGTAAGACCACTTACCATTCTTTAACTCGTTCTTAAAATGCAATCGTCTCCTATTTAACAAAAAGGTGCTTTTGTCGGATTTAAATTGTCTAAAATACCTCACTTGTGCTGATTTATTTTGCCTTTTTAGATTCTGCCTGGATCGCATAAGCTGGGCCGCATTGATCACGTGCCAATCGGAAACCAAACCGGTGCCGATCTTGAACGTGTGAAACAAGTTTCCAAGGTTTTGCCCTTGACCTATGTAGAATTGAACCCAGGAGACGCAGCGTTCTTTCACTGTAACCTTCTTCACACCAGTGACCAGAACAACAGTGACAGACGCCGCTGGGGACTTATTTGTTGCTACAACAGCGCAAGAAACAACCCCGTGATAGCGCACCATCATCCGCAATATACGCCACTGAAGAAGGTATGTGTACATCCAAATTCCTTTTTCCTTACGTTTATGGCATGCACGTGAAAGCCAAACGAACGCCCCGCTTTGAGAGAATGAGAAAGTTGAGAAAACATATCTGCACTGGGTTCTTTTGAATACTGGACTTAATTGACCCCATATTATTAATTTATCCACAGCAACTTCAAGGAAACAAATATACAAACACTTTACACCATCTTTGTAGGTTCCAAACAAGGCAATCCTAGAGTGCCCCTTGATGGCTGACAAGTCAGAGGAAAGGAAATGGTTTTTTAAAGACACCGATTCAACTCCCGATGGATTAGCTGTTAAGGCAACCAGATGAGTAAAAACGTGCAGATTGACACTGATGGAGTTTGATGACAACCAAATCAGTCAGTTGTCCCTCCATCAGGCCAGGCACTCTCACAATCACACACCCAACCTCACCTTAGTAGACACAACTGCCCAGAAGGAAAGTACACTCCTCTCAAGCTACAAACAGCATGGATAAATATCCTGACACAGAGATCAGGTTATACAGACACGAAACACGTAGACAGCATGTGTATTCAAAGTGATTCTATTCCAAACTTTCCATGTGGATAAAACGTACTTTAAAATTAATAAACAAAGAGTAAATTTGAACTGGGTAAAAATGCAATTTTGATCAACATTCAATATGTAAGGTTAGTGTTCTTGGGTGATATCCGGAAGTTCTCTAATACAGTGATGCAGCCTTTGTCAGATGCTAAGGAACATCATGGACTTTGGTTCCTAGCGGACTGTCATTCCTGTCACCCGGTACGAACAGACACATACTAAAACACGTAGAAAGATCGAAGCTAAACAGGGTTTTGGTGCCGAATCTGATTTTCTAAAATTTGAAGTTTGATGCGTTTTTCATTTACCCAAAATATGCAGCATATGTATTCAAAGTGATTCTATTCCAAACTGCATGTGGACAAAATGTAATTTAAAATTAATTAAAAAGGAGACAGTGTTTTGATTTTTTCTTACATTTGATCAACATTCAATATGTAATTTCAGTGTTCTTGGGGAAATAGCCGGAAGTTCTCTAATAAAGTACAGCTTATGTCAGATGCTGAGCAACACCAACGTGTTAACATGGCGGTCTTTATTTCAAACAGCCACCTGCGTATCTTGAAACAACAACAGATAGCTCATTTTTCTGAGAACAAAAAATAACAGACACTTTTCTGTTTGTGGCGTGATACAGAATTTAGGCCAAGGTGGTGTAGGTTTTTAAAAGTAAAATGATCCGTCACGTGATCCGGTGCCCGTATCTTGACAGCAGTATTAAGGAGACGATAATCCACATAAATAGGTTATCGACGATATATAGCGTCTGTCTACATTATCAGCCTATATGTCAGTATTTTCTACTTGATCGGCACCTGTCGAGTTGTAGACTAACAGCAACGTAAGAAGAGGATGGCGGACACGCCGGAAGGTAACGCTAAGAAGTGGCCTATTCATTCTTAACACTCAATGAATTTCATGTTGACAAGGTTTTTTGATAATATGAGAATTTATGAGACAGTGTTTTGATTTTTTCTTACATTTTGTAAACACATCGTACGCTGCCATTAGGCAACTGCAGAGAAAAGAGAGAGCGAGAAAGACCTGGGTGGAAGGGGCAAATAATCTAAACCTAACTGTTTTGTTCTAAACAGGACACAAGTACGAAGAAGGTACATCTTCCTGGGTTACAGAGAGTATAAAAAAGGAGTTTGATGATAATGGCTTCATTATCGTGCGGTACGTTGCTCTACTTGTGCATGCGTACAATGTATGCACGAGTGATTATAGGTCCCTATATTAGCCCATTATAAGTCCCTATGCTGATTATAGGTCCATATTATTAAAATCTAGGTACTTTTTTGTGGCACAGGTTATATCTGACATTTACAAACATCAGGCATGTTCTTTTCAAGATGTAACAGAAATCAAGAAATCTTTAAAAATTAACAAAACTGAACTTTGAACATTAATGATTTTGTCGTTTATATAACAAACCTTAAAGATAATTGACATAACAACTGCCATGACAAAGTTAGGAAACACCTGTTGATTTTGAAAATCTCTTTAGAAATCTTCTGAGTTCAGAAGAATTAAAGCGCGTGAAGGATGCTCTGGAGACTGACGGTCGCATATTGCAGTACCGCCTTGGTCGTGATGATGGGAAGGGACGGAGGGTAAATATGACGTTATGGAATCACCCCGGGGAGGACATAACAGGAATGGTGGCCAGGTCTGAAAAAGTCGTCAACGCCATGGAAA